TCTTTATAAGAGATATATATATATAATTATTTTATTAAAATTATATATAATAATTATTAAAAATGTGCTAATTTTTAACAATAATTAATTAATTGATTGAAAGTAATATTGGTTGTTCATTAAAGTTTGCATTTTTTGCAAAAATTGAAGAAATTAAGATTTATTTTCTCTAAATCTAACAACAACAAAGTTCTTCTAAATGATATTATAATTATAATTAAAATATAATCGATATATGATATCTATCCTCCTCTTAATGTAATATCTTATACATCTTAATGTACTATCTTAAACATCTTATGATATTAAAGTCCTTAATATCAAATTATTCATTTTCAAAAAATTCGTTTCATAATTTTATTCAATAAAACATGCTAAAGTAAATCATGACTAGTTGTAAATATGAGAAGATCGTGAACACAAATAAAAAAGAAATACTATTTCTTTTTTACTATATTCGACTGTGAAAATTTACAAATTCATAAATGAATAAATTTTAAATCCTGAAAATTTTCATAAAAAAACAAACAAATTTTAATATAATATAGTTAAATGATTCAATATATATATATTTTTTTATATTAAAAAATTAATTTTACAAAAATGATAATTGTGAATGTGTGAATTTTATGTGAATTTTTACAAACTCTCTTTCCAAACTTCTCTTTCCAAAAATCAAAAATCAAGTATTGGTTGCATTACAAATTTTTTAACAGTTTATCATTCGTTGATTTCAAAAATTCTATTTTAAGAAAAACAAATTAATTTTGTAACTAAAATTAAAAAAAAATGCATAAAATACGATTAAATTTTTTTTTTAATTTTTATATCATCGATTTTTTTTTACATCAAAAATTTGTTTATAATTTTCAAATTTGTAAAATTAGTTTTCAATTTAAAATAATGATAAATATTATATGAATATTTTTAAATTTCTTATATTCAAAATAAAAAAAAAAAGAAAAAAAATGCAATTTAATTCGATAAATGAATTTTGAAATAAAAATATTTTCGAAAAATAAATTTCGATTCATTTTAAAAATAGCAAAAATTATAAATTTCAAATCTATATTGTTAAAAAATTCTCAATTCAAATTCAAAATTAGCAAGATAAATTAATTTTCCTATCAATTATATATATATATTATAGTCTATATTATATCGCAATTTGAAAAAAATCTTGATGAAATTTTTTAAAAAAGGCAAAATTAAAAAATAATCAATTTTGATAGAGAATGATTTATTTCTCTATTTAAATTTAAAATGATAAAATACATACAGCTACTAAATATTCGGTTCATTTGCTGCGAAATTTAGCAAAATGTATTGTTGCGCGCGATAACCATAAGCGTCATTTAGAAAATCATGTGAGCTGTACAACCCCCGATTCCATGATATCAATTGAATTTAAATTCAATATCACGCGCCATAAAATCTAACAACTCTCTGATTCCAACTTGTGTTGTATCGTCTTATCTTATTGAATCAATATAAAGTCACCATCGCCGGTTTCGTATTCTTGTTGTTTTTTATTTCCTTCTTCTAGAACTTCTTATTCTTTTTTTTATGTTGAAACTTTTCTAAAAACTTTTCAGTTGAGTTTATCCATGGAACATTTTTTGAAAAATTTTTTTATGCAAATAGCAGGTACTTTGAATTTTGCACTACGATTAAATTTCATATTATTCCGATTAATCGACATTATTTAAATATATATATAATAATTTAATAATATATAGATTATATTAAATATTAATAATATATAAATAATAATTTCCAAATAATTTATTTGGAAATTAGAATTAACAATAAATACACTATGTATTCTTCGTATACTCATAAAATACAAAATCATAAAACAGATTCATTTTATTGTCATAAATTTTGTTCATTTTTAATTGTCATTGCTAACAAAATAAAATCTCAATAAAATCAAGTAATTAATGTATCTAATTTTTGTAATAGAACTGCTATTTATAATATGAATATTTATAATATATAAAAGAAATATTAATAAGTATATAAATAAAATATAAAAATAAGGAAATAATTTAAAAATATAATATTTTGACTATTATAGCATCATACAATGAAAAAGAATATTACGTATAGTACTTGTACTTCTTAAGAGATGGATCAAGTCGAACGAGCGAATGAGCAAAGCGTGTACAAACAGTCGATTAAGAGATGGTAGAAGGGAGAGGAAAAAGAAAGAAAATAGGAGGGAGGATAAGAATAAAAGCGAACAATAAAAGAGAGCAAGAGAATCAAGCAACGTGCAAACGTGTTGCGTTGAATAGAAAAGAGAAGGTAGAAAAGACAACACGCACAAAGTGAGAGGAAGCCGATTGAAAGCGAAAGCGGAAGCAAGAAAGAGAAAAAAGTAAAGAGTAAGAGTGAAGCATGGGAGAGAAGACAAAGCAGCGAGAGAAAGAGGAAAAGAGTTTGGCAAACGGTATAATGTGCACCACAAAGAACTCAAGAGCATAGAAATGAATGGTTGAGATTACCTGATGTATCGTTTGTTTGTAGATCGGTGACCAAATTGACCGATGATTGCGAATGTGTTTGTTGCTGCTGTTGTTGAGCCTGATGCTGTTGTACTTGATGAAGGGTTTCTTGTTCAGATTCAGTCAAAGGCAGATTAATCGCTGTGTTGTTTTCTGTCAGGATAGTTGGTACCGAGGATGAGGAGGAAGAAGAGGAGGAAGAGGAGGAAGAGGAGGAAGAGGAGGAAGAAGATGACGATGATTCCGTAAGGGCCGTCGCAGTGGTGTTCTCGAGGGCCGTATGGCCCCCACCTTCTCCTGTCCCCGTAGCCATTCGGCCCTCGTGCATTCCAGCAGACAGACAGACGGGGGTCCCTCCTCCTGCACGTCGTCCTCGAGCGCACGCACTTCTTTCGAAACACTTACACTCTCTTACGTGCCCTCGCTCTCTTTCTAACCCCCGTCTATCTATCTGTCTGTCTCACTTCTTTTCTCTCTATCTAGCCAACAGGAGAACGCGCACTCGCTCTTATTTCTTCTTTCTCTCTCTTTCCTTTATTCTTGCCTGATGTCTTCTTTCTCTGTCCTTCTCTCTTCCTCTTTGTGTGCGCACACTCTTGCTATCCTCCTCTCTTTTTACTACTACGCTCCCCGCGCCGGCCAGCGCCGTCTGAGCGTACCGAAACTACACCGTCTCTTTCAACCAAACATCAGTATATCACACAACAGCGACATCACACACGCCCGCGGAAAAATAAGCCCCGCGCGGATTATTAACCTCCTGTCTGCCGACTCGAAAAAAATCGAACGTTAGACAAATGTAGGTCTGTAGGCCACTTCACTTACACTTTGCATCGGGACGGGCACTCCCTTAGTCAAGCGAGCGTCCGGCGCACCGTTGCGCTCTGACAGCACGAGTTCCAGGGCCGTGTTTTCAATGCCGGTACCCGTTGCCAGTTCGCGTTATCCGTATTATCGTTTATCGAAATTATATTTTTCGCTATCCATCTTGCAATTTTTGCCATTGCTATACGACATTTATTAATATTACGTTTTTTCTAATATAATTTTTTCTTGAATTTTAATGTAACATAAATGAATTCTAAATATTTGAATCAAAATAAACAATAAATTCAAATTATCGATATAAAGTTTTATTTATATATATATATATGTATGTATGTATATATGTGTATGTATGTGTATATATATATATATATACATATAAAATATATACATATATAAAATTTAAATTTGTGAAATATAAATTTTTTATATATTTTCTTCTTGTTCTACGCATTAATTAAGATAGTATTAAACTATCTTGATCAATTTTGGATGGCACAGACTGTATATTCTTACATTATAACGAAAATATTATTTTTGACTTTTTTTTAATTCTATTTTATTTTTATATATATATACTATCGAATTATTAACGATTAAATGTTTTAAAAATTTATAACTATAATTTTTAACAAAATTCAAAATAAGCTTAACTTTATAACTTTATATAAATTTATTATATTCCAGAAATGAAAAAAAAAATTATATATTTTGAAATTATATTTAAAAAATATTTCGTTCGTATTATGATATTATGATATATCATAGTTTCATAAGAATCAATTAATCATTCTACCCAATTTTATGATATATAGGCACGGCAGTGGATAACGAAAGGGAAAATATTAACTATTCTGATTTCGTAAATACTGTATAATATAAGAAAAGTTTGGCCAAATTTTTTTAATGAAGTTAAATATCAAATCTTAAATAATAATAAAATAATTTTGTGATTGTTTACTTTTATTTGTACCATATTGAATAATAATAAAAGGGAAAGTAATTTGAAAGAACAAACGTATTGAACCAAGTTTTATATGGGTACTAGAAATTACTAGCCACGGCACTGTGTTCCAATAATGTATCACGGAAAGACGCAATTTCCGAAAGATTTCCTAGTTCTTTGATGTTTGCAAGCAATTAAAATCTACAAATTGAAAAGCTGTCAAATGCGTTTTTCGTGTTATAAATGTTGTCAATTTACCACTGTCTTATAAATACAACCATACCGTCTAAGTAGGTCAGATGTCACAATATCTGAACGTCTTATTATGGGGCGCTTTTACACCAAATGTTGCATAACTCGCCACGCACGACTTCACCAAATATAACCGTGTAAAAACTATGACCTGACGGACATAATGCAATGTAATCCCTTTTCATTGTACAATACACTTGACTAACGCTTTCGAGTAACGTTTGCAGCGCTATCTAAAACCGATTAGCGCGAAATACGAAACATAAAATTATTCTTTCTTTGCTTTGTTTTACTACGATGAAATGCATGTAATAAATATGTTCAAAAATAATAATACAATTACCAAGCTTAATAATTTTTTTTATAATTTTTAATAATATACAAAATATATTATAACAAACATTAAACAAATATATTATAACAAACATTATAACATCATATAAAAAATATATATTTTATAAAAAAAATATATATTTGAGTATATTATAATATTATTTGAGTATAGAAATTCACAATGTAAAAAATTTCCTATCCAAAATTTCCAAAA